ATGCTATGCTATACTATACTATACTATACTATACTATACTATACTATATTATATTATATTATATTATATTATTCCTCCAGACCAAGAGAGAACAACTTTTAAGTCAAGAAAGTTAAGTTGTGAAGACTGACAAAAATAAATAATGCATAGCCTCTTTGGCTTTCGTACATTTCTGACCCTGCAAACAAAATTTCTTGTATCATGTAATGTCTGCAGTGGACAAGGTGTTGACGTCAGATTCATAAGGGAGTAGATTTCAGATGTTACATCTCTCTTGTTCTCTCTGGCTCTCTTTTTTGATCACGCATTACAGTACATTGTTTAGAAATGCGTGTTCTCTGTAGTGTGTCTCTGTGATTATTTATGGGACACAGTTGGGTGCCAGGAATGAGAGCTTTTTGTGTCTGTGCAGGTGTTTAATGCTGCTGGCAGGAAATGTTTTTCGTTGCAGCAAGACACACAGCAGCTTCCGACGTACACGTGTGCATTATTCATGTTAAAATCCATATGCATGCGCTCATCCACATGACATGTAATGCAATTGAAGTATCTGTCAAGTAATATGGACCATATGTAATCAAGTATGTGCAGAAGAATGTTTTTGAGAGGGGAAAAGAAATACAATAACACTGTATAATATTTTATTGTTAACGTTTACACATGTACTGTACATAAGCAATATCACAGAAGCAAGAGCAGATATTAGGATCAATAGCGTGAATATATTTATTTTACACAACAGTTCAACTAAGACAAAAATAATATTTAGCAACTTGCTTTTTAGACACACTGTAGCTCAATTTATATGGACAGTAAATTGTTTCATTCTTGAATTAATCTGTTTTTGAACAAATTGTTTGAATGAATGATTCAATGACTCACTCAAAGATGATCACTTGTTTCATTCCTGAATGAATCACTTGTTTTGAACAAATTGGTTGGATGAATGATTCAATGACTCATTCATAAGGACTGTCACTGTTTCATTCCAGAATGAATGCGTGTTTTTGAAAGAATTGTTTGAGTGAATGATTCAATGACTCACTCACAAAGGTGGTACTTCTTTTAATTCCTGAATTAATCTGTGTATTTGAACAAATTGTTTGAGTGAATGATTCAGTGATCTCACACAACCACGGACACTTGTTTAATTAAGTCACTCATAAAGACCGTCAAAGTTTAATTCCTGAATGAATAAGTGTATTTAAATTAATTGGTTGAATGATTTAATGATTCAGCGACTCACTCAAGCCACTTATCGCCACCTACCTGTGTGTCAACCTAATCAGTGTTGGTAATATTCTTTTTTTTTTTTTCATTTACATGTTGCATAAAACATAATGTTGCATTTCATTTTACAGGTAAAATGTACAGAATTATTCTGGGTTTTATTTAATAGAAGTTTCTTACCCAAAGGTTGATTAAGAGCGATTTAAGTTTGATATAAATTCACTTTATACAAAGCAGCTGTCTATCAGGAGTCTGTAATATGCCACATAGGCCTCTAATGGACTTGAATTCAAATGTTGCTCAGATCAGATCTGCCATACCCCTCTCTCTTGCTATTTGACTCATTTGCTGCTCAATTTCATTTGATTCCACCGTATCCTTGTCCGTATAGCATCCTTCTCTCAGAATGCTTAGAAACGCAGGGATTGCTGGAGGACGTGATGAAGTTCAGAAAGAGCGAGATGGAGGCTCATTAGGTTGATTCTCGGGTTAAGAGCTTTGCTCGCTGTGCTGTAGGCAGCCAGTATTAGACAGACCTCGCGTGTTCAGGGCTCAGAGAATGTGAGTTCTCCCATTAAAAGCCCATCTGTGGGAATGGGGCTCCTAAATGCTCTGAAACGGCACACTTGGGCAGAGAGCCTAAGCGAGAGTGGCCTATGCTCAAACCAGGCTAATTTAATACAATGATCTTTTATCTGCACTCTTTCCCCCTCTCTGTTTTTCCTCTTGTTCTCTCTTAGTCTCTGTCTTTGTCTTTGTCTGTTATTGCTCTCATTACTTCTGCTTTTAAACCCCAAATTTTCCTCATTTTCTTTTTTTTCATTCATTTTCAGTTCTTCATTTCAATTTAATTGCTCATTGTTCTGTTACCATGTATTTGCCTTTTGTATTTCTTTGACTGTGGGCACTTTTAGCCCTGTGGACTTCTAGAAATCAAGCTCTTTTGAAACACTTTTCACCTTTTTTTTTTGTCAAATAACAATGTCTAACAGAGATTGTACATGCATTTTGCCATAACCATTATTTTTCTTAAACAACAAATGTCATTAAGTAGTCAGTGATAGTGATAGAAATAGCATTTTTAAACATTTTTGGATCATTTTTTAATTATTTTCATTTTTTGATACTAGTGTCTCCTTGTCAGCCGAGTACATTAACTTTTGATTTTTTATATATATACTGTGTGTGTGTGTGTGTGTGTGTGTGTGTGTGTGATATATATATATGAAGTAGATTATTCCACTCTGTAGCCAGATTATAATTTTTTTTAATTATGTTCTAAAAAGTATTATTATTTATATAAATGATCACTGTTGTTGTTATTATTATTGTTGTTGTATGATTGGGTTTCATATTTCATGATCCAAAAATAAACAACACAATCTCATGGCAATTTATAACTATTTTACATTTTGGCAAATTGGTGGCTTATTCATATGGATTTCTACAATCTCATTCATACATTTTCAAATGATCTGCATAAGATCAGCGCTTACGCCCCACTGATGATTGTATATCTTATGTGTTTATCTTAAAATCTTACATTTTCATATGAATTCATGTGTAAAATAGGTACATTTTCTATTTTATTTTTAGAGAAAACAAGTTGAAATCTATCACTGTTCACTCCCCCTCCTGTTCCACATTTAAAAATCATGTGGATTTTCTTTTTCAAACAGCAACAGATGTCAAGTTTCAAAAAGCAATTTAAAGCCAGAAATGTCATCTGAAGCCATCTGATAGCTGTGTGAGTGCTTTCTAAGTAATGGTGACCTTATCTGTGTGTCTGTCTGCAGACAGCACTGCCAGCATCATCGCCAGACGGCGGCGATTCCACAGACTGACCCAGGAACTATATGAGCTCCCGGTGGTGGTTTGGGATGACGGGGAACCCGTCCTGAGCAGCACCAGTACCCTCATGCTCAGGGTGTGTTCCTGCCAGAGAGGCACCAGACTGAAGATCTGCCAGGGTGAAGCGTTCCTCTCCTCCGCAGGGCTCAGCACAGGCGCTCTCATAGCCATACTGCTCTGTGTGCTGATTTTACTGGGTGAGTTCAACCTGGGAATGATGCTGAAAAAAACACTCAAACACATGATCCTTCAGATTATGAGAGCAACATAATTTAAAACATATGAACAGGGCCAAAAGAAACATATAAGTGTTGGCATTTGTAAAGCGTTTAACTTATTTTACATGCATATTTTTGAGTAAAACTGAAAATTAAGAATAAATAATCTAATGCAGGGTTTTGTAGGATTATGGATGTTAGGTGATAATATCATTACTTAATTTAAATGAATGACTGATAAATGATAAAAAAAAAATGCAAATACTGTAGGTACATATTAAAAATAACAAATAATGTTTAATAAAATAATATTATAATAATGCAATTCAAGTAATTACAAAATAATATTTATTATTATTAGTGGTAGTAGTATTATAAGACTAGGTGTATGTATGTATATATATATATATATATATATATATATGTATGTATGTGTGTATGTATGTATTTATGTATGTGTGTGTGTATATATATATATATATATATATATATATATATATATATATATATATATATATATATATATATATATATATATATATATATATATATATATATATATATATATATATATATATATATATATATGTATGTATGTGTGTATGTATGTATTTATGTATGTGTGTGTGTATATATATATATATATATATATAGTATATGGACACTATTTGTCTAACATCTTTAAATTATGTTATTGTATTATGTGTTTTCATTATTTCCATTTTACATTACATTGAATTTACTTTAAAATGTTATTTAAAAATGACTTATTTAACATATTTATCGTTTTTGCATTTAATAATATTATTGCATATTTAATTAAATGACTGGTGGATAATTGTACATTTTTAAATAATGACGTTATATAAAGTAAATAAAAATAGTAAATAATGTTTAATTAAAATAAAATATAAAATAAAATCAATTAAATAAAAAAAATTCTTACATATATACAATTTATGTACAATTTATAATTTCATTATTTACTCTTTTTATTTAATTTTATATAATATGTTTATTTAATGTATTTATAATGTTTACGTTTAGTACAATTGAATCATGTAAAAAAATATGTAATTATAAATGAATAAATAATAGTAATAGTATAGTAAATAACGTTTAATCAAATATATAATGTACTAATATATTTTTAATGTAATAGAATTGAATAATAACGAAAATGAGACTTTTTACTAAAATACGTATTCATGTAAATCTGATGGGTTTTCTTCTTGAACTGTTGCCCGTTTATCACCTTTCCAGTTTTATTATTCACAGCAGGATTCTGGCATTCATTTGTGATAATTCCAGTTGATCCAGCCCTGTTTAACTCTTGACTTTTCATCTTTCACCTTGTAAACCTGTGGCTCAAAAGTAAGGAGCGTACTTAAAGGATTTCATGGGTCTCTCAACAGCAGGTGAAGGGTCGTGACCGCATCAAAATGTCATGAACAGAACACTGAAGAATGCTTTAGTATTCACAGCAGGGCAGATAGAGATGAACTCTCATATGACAGCATGAATAAATGAACGTCATGATGACAGTATGACAATACAGTTATAATCCAACTAATTAAAGTGTTGTACTACAATCTACAGTAGTAGAATCTCTACCTGTCACACATTTCTATTGTTGCACATATACACATTTAATAAAACTGCTTAAATGTATTTTACTCTTTATTATTCAATTATAATACATACAAAAATATTATATAATATATTTTAGTAAACTGTGTATTATTTTTTACTTATTATATATTTAAACATTATTTTATATTATTCAGTTCTATTAAATGCAAATGATAAATATGATAAATGAACAATATTTAAAGAAAATCAATTAGTAAATAATTTAAAAATACATAATATAGTATATAATAAACATGGTAGATAAACATGTTTAAATATAAGTTGTGTGTTTAATGTTTATTTTCTTTTTATTTAATATTATATTATATTACATTATTTTATTGACATTATTTACTATTCTTAATGTGTACCTATTTAATAAAAGAAAAATATTTAAGCAATAATACTGTTGACTAATTTTAATAATAAGGTGGTAGTAAATAATATAATATAACATAACATAACATAACATAACATGTAACATAACATATAACATAACATAACATAACAGAACATAACATAATATAATATAATATAATAGGCCAAAATGTAGATAGTGTAACGCCCCTGTGGACTGTTTGTTGTGGTTTCTTCCTTTTGTGTTGGTTTAGCCCGTCTAATCATTAGTTAATCACCGTCATTGTGCTCACCTGTCTGCCTCTAATTATTCACCCCATACTAGTCCCTGTCTGTCTGAGCATTGGTGTCGGTTATTGTGAATGTTACCCCGAGTGTGTGTTTGTTTCACCTACCTGTACCTGCCTTGTTGTGTCTACATTAAAAGTGAGTAGTGGAATTCTTGTTGTCCTCGTCGTCCTGCCTGCCTCCACACATCCAGATCGTGACAGAATAACCGACCAAAAACAACAAGATGGAGATCACTACTCGTTTCCTCGCCATATCCCGCCAGGATCTCCCCTTCTACGAGTACGCCGGGGAGTTCTGCAAGCTCGCAGCGGTGACGGCGTTAGAGGAAGCCGTCCTTAATCAGCTGTTCTGGCTCGGGGCCAACTACCATCGCCTCCCAGCTCCTCGAAAGCGTTTTGCTGTGCCTGCTCCTCCAGAGCTCCCTCCAGTGCCAGCGCCACGTAAGTGCTACCTTGATCCCCAGTACAGCCCAGGAAGGGCTTCTGTTCCTGAGTTAAGCCCACGGAGGGCTCCTGATCCCCAGTTCAGCCCACGGAGGGCTCCTGATCCCCAGTACAGCCCAGCGAGTCCCCGGCTCCACCAATGCAACCTGAGCCCCCTGTTCCGCCATGGCCTTCTGAGCCCCCTGATCCGCCGTGGCAACCTGAGCCCCCTGTTCCGCCATGGCCTCCCGAGTCCCCGGTTCCGCCATGGCCTCCCGAGCCCCCTGCGCTCTGGAGGCCCACTGTCCCGTATCTGTCCTGAGGGACCTCCAGACTGTAACGCCCCTGTGGACTGTTTGTTGTGGTTTCATCCCTTTGTGTTGGTTTAGCCCGTCTAATCATTAGTTAATCACCGTCATTGTGCTCACCTGTCTGCCTCTAATTAATCACCCCATATTAGTTCCTGTCTGTCTGAGCATTGGTGTCGGTTATTGTGAATGTTACCCCGAGTGTGTGTGTGTTTCCCCTACCTGTACCTGCCTTGTTGTGTCTACATTAAAAGTGAGTAGTGGAATTCTTGTTGTCCTCGTCGTCCTGCCTGCCTCTACACATCCGGATCATGACAGATAGAGAGACTAAAGAAACGGAAGAAGAATTGAGGAAGGTTACAAAAGTAAAGTATATTTTACAGAAAGTGCCACGGTAAATGTCGAATGGAGCGTGAAACAGATGTGGGGAAATAGCGAGGAAATCTGCGAACAGAAAGGAGTGAGAGACAGAGAGTGAGCCGCTGACAGTTTTGTATTAAATGTGCGAGTTGAAGAAAGTGAGCAGCATATGTAATAGTCCTCTCTCATGCAGACATTACCACCTTTCCTCTTCTCATTGTCTGCTCTCATCCCTTTCCTCCCTCTCTCCGGCCCTGGATGGATGGGTTAGGTCTCACCTCGCGGCTGTGATGCTCTCTCCTGTTCAAAAGCGAGAGAGATTTTCAGCACTCACCCTAGCAGATGCCGGGGCTAAATATAGTCCTGAACCTCCCGCTCCGTTCGGCACATCCCGGCTCAAACACGGCTCTGTTTGCTCCTGCTAAAATTTACTTGTTGATAAAATCTCCCTCCTTCCACTCCACAAATCTGCTTTGTAGATTTGCTTGCTTTAGCAGAGCCGATTACATTACAAGATACTTGTTTGTTAGCAAACATTGAACAGACTGTGTCACTTTTTAGCGTTTTGTGTAACAGCACAATGGTGTGGTTGCTGTGTAATATTCTTACAACAGCTTGCAATATGTTTCATTGTATTTCTGTCTACCAGAATTACCAATATATATAATCACTCAGTTTCAAAGGCTGATTATTTTTGCTCTTTCACATGACAGTCTATATACACACACACACACACACAATTCCTGATATAAAATATAATGTAAATGCAAATTTTTTTATTTTTAAAGAAATGTCCAAGACCTTTTCATAACTTTTTTTTTTTCCCTATGGATTTTACCTACAAATCAAATAGTTCTTATGTAGAGACTTTAAATACATTGAAAAAGTATATAACTTGTGCAAAATGTTATTCATATATATGTCACGTGTGCACTGCTTTAGAAGTGGGATCATGGAAAAAGTGCTTTCATAAAGCTTTAGTCGTGTCAGCTAATAGTGTATTAGTGAAGTGAAAGCTCATCTAGACTAATGTGCGATATTGACTTGCTGTTCATTTATCATGGCTCTTTCCATTTAATGGGATATGAAAGAATCATCATTCATTCGCACTGATCTCTGGCCCCTGATGTGTTTGCTTGTTCATGCATTGACGATGCTTCACACCTGCTTTTCCCTCATCCTGATAATGTACCCCACGTCTCCTACTGCGTGACACATTTACCATAGTGCCATAACATTCCCTGGAGAAATTATTCAGTGTTATTTTTAGTTATTTATTATTTCAGTTTTCCAGTACTTGACAAGAATATGTTATGTATCTTCAGTTTCTCACAGCTCCCAATGATATTTAAACACAGTGCAATTATTTACCATTCCTGATGATTTTTGCAATATCAGGCCCCATTTCTCATCTTTTTAGACTGCAATTCATTTAATTTAACCCTCTAGTGCTGCTCACGTGGCAGTCAAAAATGTTTATTATTTAATATTTATTTAATATTTTGGATTTTAGGGGGTTTTATAATAATGAAGTTGTAACACTTTACAATAAGGTTCCATTAGTTAACATTAGTTAACTACTTTAGTTAACATGAACTAAGCATGAACAGTACTTCTGCAGCATATATTAATCTTAGCTAATGTTAATTTCAACATTTACTAATGCCTTATTAAAATCAAAAGTTATGCTTGTTAACATTAGTTAATGTGCTGTAAATGAACATGAACTAACAATTAACAACTTTATTTTCATTAACTAACATTAACACAGATTAATAAATACTGTAATAAATGTATTTTTCATTTGTTAATTTTAGTTAATACATTAACTAACATTAACTAATGGAACCTTATTGTAACTTGCATTCAGAGCTGTAGTCAAGACCAGATATTACAAGACCCGAGCAATTTCGCTAGTTGGAACAATCCACACACCATATATAATAAAAATAATTTATTTGAAAAGTATTAATTTATAAGTAATAAATTTATGGAGTATTTATGATCTATTTATTAAGTCTTAACCACTTTTTGATCATAGAAAATTTTAAATTAAAATCTTGAATGCTTTGGATCACATACTTAAGTTCAGTTTCTTTTTAATGACACTTGGGAGATTATTGATGAAATTGTTGATCAAAATTTCACCATTATTGGTGAAAAAAAATAAAGTAAAAAATAATACAATAAAAATAAAAAGTTAGAGAGGTTTTAGTTTATTATTTTTAAAAAATGCACAAAAATACTATTTTTAAATTTTATGTGAAATACATATTTCCCAAAACATGTTTTACTCTAAATCAATGTGAAAATCAAAGCTATAAATGTAAAAAGAAAGTAGTGTTCCGAATCTGAGGTTGATATCACAAAAAAAAAAAAAAAAGCCAAGTCCACTGGAGGAAATTCACTTCCCATTTATTTCCAATGCTGTCAAACAACAGTACAAGTGTGACTATATTTTTTGTATCATTTAACCTCTTCTAATCATGTCCATGATTTTATGTGTTTGTGTCTGTGTGTGCCGTCTCACATAGCAAGTGCCCAAAACCTTTACCAAGTTTCATACCATTCCAATGACGTAAATAATTCGGTCAAAAATGACCAAACAGCACCAGAGGGTTCACTCTTTCACTCTTCGTTTTTTCAGCTGTGTATGTTAATATAATAAGAAGCATCATGTTTATGAATATTATTAAAGTGCCGTTTTATTTTATATAATCAGCAGCATTTTCCTTGTTCCTTGCAGCAATCGTGATTCTCTTCATTACATTGCGACGAAGCAAAAAGGAACCGTTGATCATCTCGGAGGAGGACATTCGTGAGAACGTGGTGACGTACGACGACGAAGGAGGCGGAGAGGAGGACACCGAGGCCTTTGACATCATCGCCCTCCGGAACCCAGCCGCCGCCGAGGAACTCAAGTTCCGTCGGGACGTCCGGCCCGAGTGCATCCGGCCGTGGTCGTCAAGGAGACCGGCCCGTGGCCGTCACAGCCCCTCATCCCTGGACATAGATGAGGAAATGGACATCGGGGAGTTTATCAAACAGAGGGTGGTCGAGGCGGATCAGGATACTAGCGTACCGCCCTACGATTCTTTACAGACCTACGCCTACGAGGGTCAAGGTTCACCAGCAGGCTCCATCAGCTCACTCGGGTCGGCTGGAGCACATTCTGAAGTGGACTACAACTCCCTGGACGACTGGGGTCCAAAATTTGAGAAAATAGCAGGACTTTATGGAGAGGAAGTTGAAACGGCGTCTGAATCCACTGAAAAGGCAGAGTCGGAGAAGCAGACATAAGTATTTGTCAATGTCAGAGAAAACTGTGAACAAAAAAAAATAAAACCCTGCTTTTTTTCGACATCCGCCGTCATGGTTTCATCAGCACAATGAGACGCTCTCGGACTGCTGCGCTGCCATATCTCTACAGCTGTAAAGTCAGACTGACTACCTTTTTTCTCTCTTTTCTCTTGAATGTTCGGAGCTCTGAATCCCAACGAGACAAGAATGATTTTGAAAAGAAAATCTAATAAAAAAAAAGAATAAAAAAACTAATGAAAATAAGGAAGCTATTTTAACTGGTGTATATTTTTTATTGCTCAATAAAGTCCTGAATTCCTGACACATTAATATATGTGAACTTATCCTTTGTTGTTGTTGTTGTCTTAATTAATTTGTTTAGTTAGTTGTTTAGTTAAGTAATTAATAGTTTGTTTGTTTGTTTGTTGGTAGCATTTTCAAGCCGGTCAAAAAAACTGTTAATTCTTGTTTGATGCTTTTAGAAAATTCAAACAAAACTTTTAGAGATAAAGCACTAATTGTGACAATTTCTCATCAAATCAACTCGCTGCTTCAGTTTATAGTTAAGAAAACAAAGAATGCAGAATATGTAATAATTTGTTTTGAAAAAAAATTTGAAATTATTTCAAAATTATTATATAAATATACAGTATATTATATAATATATAATTATTAATCAGTTGTGCTTTTATATAATAGTAGAATTGTTTATGTTCCTCTCATATATATATATATATATATATATATGTGTGTGTGTGTGTGTGTGTGTGTGTGTGTGTGTGTGTG